CATAGCTAGGCCCTCACAACTCTCTGCATTTCACCCCCAGCAGTGTTGGAAGTGTCAGTTACCTCTAGGTAAGGGGCACATGTAAGATAGGGGGCTGAGAACAGCAATGTTCTAGTATAGTAAATTAATGTTTTTTTTTTTTTGTACTTGTGAAGGAGTCTAGGACTTGTGCCCCAGGATTCTTCATGGGATTTGACGCCCCTCTATTTCTTGAGTCATATATAGGATTTTTTTTTACAAAACATGTGTGAGAATTACTTCACATAATACAATAATGACCATACTAAACGCTATCAAGAAACAGAAACTGAATGCTGGCAGGAATGTCAAATGGGAAAGCCACTTTTTAAAAAATATCTACCCTAACATGTTTATTCAGGTGACACAGTGCTAACATAGTTTATAAACATCCAAATATTTTAAAATAGAGTATAACAAAATTGGAAAGGATTTACCAACCATTGTTCAACTATGTAAAGTATGTGTTTTGCAAAGAGGAATCAATTACTTTGGCATGTTTTATTCATATCTCTATATACATCCAGAGCTATTCCTACTGCTGAATTGATGCTATTACCTAATAGATATACATTTCTTTTTTTTTTTTTTTTTGGTCTATAACATTTATGAGTTATATGAGCTTTGCAATACAGTTATTTCTTCCACATTGGGTGATATGTACATTCCTTTTGTTTTGCATAGCATCAGCTGTTCCCTCTTTCCCACTTGTTCCCTCCCTCCCATCGCTGCCATTGAGTTGCTTAGTTCATTTTGATCAATGTCCAGTGCAGCTGATGGGTCCCGCTGATGCATGTTTTTCCCTGATTCCCTCTAGTTCTGTGTCATCCTGTTTTCCCTCCAGTACGCACATATATACCATATATGTGATCAGCAGCATGGGTAGTGATTTGACCAGATGAGTGGAAGTCCTTTGTTTCTTAAGTCTTGTTAATTTTGCCGTATCACCTTACATTTTAGATTTAGCATCCACTTATCAGGGAGACCATGTGCCGTTTGTCTCTTTGCTCTTGGCTTACCTTACTCAACATGATTTCTTCTAGCTCCATCCATTTCCCTGCAAATGCCATTATTTTGTCCTTTCTAATGGCTGCATAATATTCCATTGTGTATAGATACCACAATTTTTGTATCTATTCATCTGTGGTGGGACATCTGGGTTGTTTCCATATCCTGGCTATTGCGAACAGTGCTGCAATAAACATGGAGGTGCACGTGTCCTTGTATACTGGTTCCTGTTGTTCAGGGTAGATGCCTAGAAGTGGTATGACTGGGTCATAAGGGAGGTCAATATTTAGCTTTCTGAGGACCCTCCAGACTGGGAAAACCACTTTTTTGCCTCCTTTTTTTTACATTTTTAATTATTATATCTTTAAGTAGTTGTACAAAGAAGTTCCCATTCTACAAAACAGTATATGAATACAAGGTGTCTGACAACATTGTCATCCATCACTCCCAACCCATCCCTTCTCTCACACTTTTTTTAAATTGAGGTTAGGTGATTACATAAATTTCACAGTGTTGTGGAATAGTGATACTTAAAATCACAAACACATTTTAACCTTCACAAGGCACATTGTCATTATAAAGCATGGTGTATACAGTTCGTGAATTCTATGAGCTTTGACAATACAAATTATTTCTTCCACATCAGGTGGTCACATTTCTTTCCTTTTGCTTAGTGTAAGCTATTCCCTCTTTCCCTCTCATTCCTCCCTTCCCATCGCTGTCTTTGGGTTGCTTAGTTCTTTTTCTTGTATGTCCAGTGCAGCTGATGGGCCCCTTTGTTGTATGTTGTTCCATTTCCCACTTATTCTGTTCCTCCTCCTGGCTCATATACAGGAAATTTTTTGAATATTTTTATTTTCTTTTTTTTCTTGAAAGGAGCAAATGATGCTATCCATTTAATATTTTGTGAAATATCTGTGCCTATGTGCCTATGAGGGGTTACATTTATATGTCAGGTAATGAATATATTTCTTTTTTTGTTTATCTGTTTTTTGCCAGTCCTAGGGCTTGAACTCAGGGACTGGGCACTGTCCCTGAGCTTCTTTTGCTCAAGGCTAGTACTCTACCACTAGAGCCACAGCTCTACTTGCAGCTTTTTCTGTGTGCATGGTATTGAGGAATCGAACCCAGGGCTTCATGCATGCTAAGCAAGTACTCTACCACTAAGCCACATTCCCAGCCCCATGAATACATTTCTTCTTTTTGAACAGTGTTGCCTGACCTCGTTTTATCCCTCTTTTTCCTTCCTGACCCCCTTTTCCACAAGTTGTATAGTTCATTTGCAACATAGTGTCTAGTGAGTAGCAGAAACTGCTGTATTTGTTCACCTTTTGTCCTTCACTTTCTGTGCTCCCCTCTACCAGCTCCTCAAGACAGCTAAACTTACATAAAAGACAAAAGGTACAGAAATCAAAAACAGTGACAAAAAGGAGAAAACGAAAACAAAAAGCAAAATAACAAAAATCCTTTAGTTTCCATTTCTTGGAGTTTATTTCGATATATGATCATATGCAAACAGTTATTGAGCTTTTGTGATCCTCTCATAACAAGATCTTCCTTTGGTCTCACTGATAAATTATACAGGACTCTAGATGTTTTAATTTTCTTTAGGCTTAGTGGTAGAGTGCTTGCTTAGCATGCATGAAGCCCTGGGTTCGATTCCTCAGTACCACATACACAGAAAAAGCTGCAAGTGGTGCTGTGGCTCAAGTGGGAGAGTGCTAGTATTGAGCAAAAGCAGCTCAAAGCAGCTCAGGGACAGTGCCCAGGCTCTGAGTTCAAGCTCTAGGATCAGCAAAAAACACAAGCAAACAACTTAAATCGTCATAAAGGTGATGTACAGAGGGGTTACAGTAATATAAGTCAAGCATGAGTATATTTCTTTTTGGACAATGTCACCCATTCCTTCACTTTCTCCCTATTTTTCCCTCCCATCCTTACCCACAAGTTGTATAGCTCATTTTCAACATAGTATCTAGTGAGAACCACTACTGTATTTGTTCATTCTTTGTCTCTCATTTTTTTTGTTGTTGTTGTTGTCAGTCGTGGGTCTTTAACTCTGGGCCTGGGCACTGTCCCTGAGCTGTTTAGCTCAAGGCAAGTGTTCTACCATTTGAGCCACAGCGCCACTTCCGGTTTTCTGGAGGTTCATTGGAGATAAGAGTCTCATGGACTTTCCTGCCTGGGCTGGCTTTGAATCGTGATCCTCAGCCTTCTGAGTAGCTAGGATTACAGGCGTGAGCCACCAGTGCCTGGCTAGACTCTCCATTTTTGTGCCCCCTTTACCCTCCCAAAGTCAGGTAAATGAACAAACAAGACAAAAGAATAAAAAAAAAATCTTGTTTCCATTTCTTGGAGTTCATTTTGATAAATATTACTTTATGTGATCAGATTCACATAGGTATTGCGCTTTTATGCTTTTCTCCTAACAATGTTCTCCTTTGATTTCACTGGGTGCCGTCCCTGAGCTCTTCAGCTCAAGGCAAGCACTGTACCACTTGAGCCACAGCGCTACTTCCGGTTTTCCTGGCCGGGCTGGCTTTGAACCATGATCCTCAGATCTCAGCCTCCTGAGTAGCTAGGATTACAGGCATGAGCCACCGGAACCCAGCTTTTCTCAACTTTAATCAGCCTCTATTTTCTTTGTTTGTACTCGTCTTTGAGGCTTGAACTCAGTGCTTAGGCGCTGTCCCTGAGTTTTTGTGCTCAGGTCTAGCACTCTACGTGAGCCACAGCTCCACTTTTGGTCTTTTGGTGGTTAATTGGAGATAAGAGTCACCAGCAACCAGCTACCAGCAGCAGCTTTAAAGTTCATAGTCCTAGCAACAATCTCTTCAAGGCAGCTTAGGGTTTTTCTACTATGCTTCTCAAAATTCTTAAAACCTTCACTCAGCCCAATTGCAACGCCAATTCCTGCATCCTAGGTTTTTGTTAGTCGAGCAATATATGTCTAGGACCAAGGTCCATAAGAAATACCACATAGTGCCTTAAGACAACATTCACATTTATTTACTGCAGTCCAGAATGTCAGGAGTTTGGGTCTCAAAGGGCTGAAATCTCTCACAGAACTGAAATCAATGTCAATCTCATTTAAGGGTCAGGCCCCTATAGAAGTTGGGATTGTTGGTGCTGGGAAGGTGGCTCAGTGGTAGAGCACTTGCCTTGCATGCCTGAGGCCCTGGGTTCAATTCCTCAGCACCACATAAGCAAAAAGAAAAAAGCCAGAAGTGGCACTGTGGCTCAAGTGGTAGAGCGCTAGCCTTGAGCTGAAGAGCTGAGGGACAGCGCCCAGGCCCAGCGTTCAGGCCCCACAACCGGACCCCAAAAAAAAAAAAAGAAGTTGGGATTGTTGACAGAGTTTAATTCCTTGTAACCAAGGAATGAAATCTGTTTCTTACTGCCTGCTAGGGAACAATGTCAGCCCAAGGGCCAGCCTTAGGCTCTAGACATCACACAACTCCTTCTTCTACAAGGTTGTTTGCTTCCACAAGCAAACTGTGGGTTGCCTCACTTAAGGACCCATCAAATTAGGCAATAACCATCCTGAACAATCTCCTTTTTGTTTAACTAAAGTGAAAGATCAGTATTATAATCAGAGGAATGAAATGCTTTGGCCACCCAGAATGGGCATAAATTACATGGGGCATATATGCTAGAGTTGGAATACTGGGGCCATCTTAGGAATTCTTCATATCAGGGCACTATTCTGCCTACTCCTTCCCCCTTTTTAAATTGTTATTATAAAAGTGATGTAGAGGGGTTACTTAAGTCAGGTAATGAATATATCTTTTTGGACAATGTCACTCCTCCTCTATTTTTAAGTCAGGTACACATGAAGATAATCATAAGAACTGAAATCAATTTATTTATAAAATTCTTTATTTAACCAGCAGTGAGAACCAAGAAACAAGAAACGAAATATGCTACTAATAAGCCAGTGGAGTCTGGGGAAATAACCACAGCAGCTCCTGATTACCAGGTCAGAAAGATAGAGTTCTGGTACTTGTGGATTCAACTGAGTTACATGCTCTGGAATACTGTTTCCCATGTAGCAATTCCACTGATTTTTTATTGGCTTTTTTCTCCTCCTTCATCAGTTTTCTCTTTTTCTCCTTCACTATCAGTAGCTCCATTCTTAACTTTCTCTCCACTGCCAGCTTCCTTCTCTTTCTCTTCACTACCAGCTTCCTTTTCTCCTTTCTCTCCACTGCCAGATTCCTTCTCTCCCTTGTCTCTATTGCCAGCTCCCTTCTCTCCTTTGTTTTGAACAGTATAAACTGCTGTGTTATAGCCTTCCCGGTTCCGAGCAATTTCAATGGCAAAAAATTGTATCCTGGGTGCTGGAAGGTAAAAAGAATTGATTATTGTCCCAGTTTCAAGTAATTCTCTAAATCTACTAGAAATCTACAGACCAATCTTAACTAAGATGCAGAACATTCACGTATAGTCGTAAGCGCCAGAGACCTAACTCACATTATTAAAATTAAAAATACCTATCATACAGTCATTCAAGAAATTGCAACAACATCTTTATAAAGATAGAACAAATAACAAGATCTCCAACCTAACTACACACATTATTGATTGATCAGTAATATCAGATTCCTACTCACATTGTACACAAACAATTCCAGAGACAAGAAACTCACCAAAGATGGTGTTTTCCTCGGTGTAGCCCTTGGAACAATCCAGTCGCAGAAGAGTACCATAGTTGAAGTCTTCTACAAGGCCTTCAAACTTCAAACAGAATGGCCTCCACTTCTACAAAGGCAAAAAATGATGCTTTACCGGCAAAACCTAAGAGAATCGTGTACTCAAAGGCCAGGGCAGGGGCTTCAAGTCTCTCATTAATGCAAATAACTATAGAAGGTACTGAGATTGAAGTCATTGCTAGTACTAGTAAATTATGTTTTAAATCAGTACTACAAAAATTCCTGATTCTTGGGCTGGGATGTAGCTCAGTGGCAAAGCGCTTGCCTAGCAAGTGCAACATCCTGGGTTCGATCCCCAGTACCAAAAAAAGAAAAAAGACAAAAAAAATTTCCTGATTCCTTATTTATTTTCTGTCAAACAAAAATTCTTTTTGGATCAGTATGGGAGTTTGAACTCAGCCTGAATGCTTGTCCTTTACCTTTTTCACTCAAGGCTGATGCTATAGCACTTGAGCGACAGTTCTACTTCTGGCTTTTTAGTAGTTAACTGGTAATAGAAGTCTCATAGTCTTTTCAGCTCGTGCTGGCTTTGAACCGTGATCCTCAGATTTCAGCCTCACAAGTAGCTCGGATTACATGCCTGAGCCACTCACTAGTGCTCAGCTGCTTTACTTTTTTTTTCAACAAGTTTAAAGACATAATAGAATTATTGGCCAGATGCCAGGTAATAAATATTTACGAGAGAATTCTTACCTCTTTAGCGGTTTCTGATTTAAGTTCTTCTGGGTCCAAAATATCTACCTTGAGTTTCTCAAAACTTTTCCGGAACTCAGAGTAGATCTGATCATCTACTTTGGTGAGTTTTAGGAACTGTGGGTCAACTGACGAAATCAACTGCCACAGTAAAACAATATCCAGATATTAGTCTCCAATTTACTACATTTTATACTACCTCCCTCCCTCCCCCCGCATCCCCCCACACAGAGAAAACATTTAATGGTTATAAAGTCAAAAGATTTTATAGGGAACATTAACTGTTAAATAAAATCACCATTAAGTTTTTATTTTATTTATTTTTAATTGTGAAAACTGGGTTACAATTACATGGGCAAGTTAATGAGTACATTTCTTATCAAGCATTGTTGCCTCCTCCTTTGTTTCCCCTTTCCATCCCTTCTCATCTCCCCTCCCTACCCCCCCCCCCCCCAAATCACCATTAAGTTTTAAGAAGCCATAACATGCTACAGTCCCTTTTACCAATTGGTCAATTACACCATATGGCCCTAGTATTACTTGGTTATTACTCTCTGTGGATTGTACACTTAAGAGACATTTATTGTGAGCTGGGAAGGTAGCTCAGTGGTAGAGTGCTTGCCTTGCATGCATGAGGCCCTGGGTTCAATTACTCAGCACCACATAAGCAGAAAAGGCCGGAAGTGGCGCTGTGGCTCAAGTGGTAGAGCGCTAGCCTTGAGCTGAAGAGCTCAGGGACAGCACCCAGGCCCAGAATTCAGACCCTATGACCAACAAAAAACAACAAACAAAACAAAACATTTATTAAGTGGTTCATGATGTATGGATCAGGCACCATTTTGCCAGGTAGTTACAACACTTGGCAAAGAAGCAGAACCTCTTACTGTCAAAACAAATTCACTTCTGTCTCTGTTCTCTACAGATAAGATTTTATAGTGCTCATAACAGTCTCTAAAACATAGCTGTTTAACTTGCTGAAATAGTTGATTAGCAGAGAACCATACACTATAATTACATGTTTAATTCTGCTTAATGATGAAAGCAGAGGACTTACCTTGTAGTAGACTTCAGCGTGTTGCATTGCTCTCATGGCCCAGGCCATCTCAATATCTGGCTGCAAAGGGTTAAAGAATGCTTGGTCAGAAATATCCCAATCCTGTTATTGGACAACAAATCAAGGATCTTGGTGGAGGTCTACTTAATGCTTAAGAGAGCTACTAAAAATGATAATGTCAGGCACTGTTGGTTCACTCCTGTAATCCTAGCTACCCAGGAGGCTGCGATTGGAGGATGGAGGTTCGAAGCCAGTCCAGGCAGCAAAGTAATCAGCAAAGGCCGGAAGTGAAGGCACAGGTCAAGGTAGTTGCTAGCTCCACTTCTTCAGGTCTCCCATGTATAGCAGTGTGTTGGGGTGCCAGATAGCCTACCCATGAGAATGGAGCAGTTCATTAACTGCTAGTTAATTCTTCATTCCTTGGTGATCAGCAGAAAAGCTGGCCTGAGGGCCAGCCTTGAGCAAAAAGAACTAAGGAAGAATGCTTTGGCCCTCAGTTCAAACCCAACACACGAGTGCATAAGAGTGCTTGTGTACTTACGTGTATACATATATGTATGTATACATACACATACACACACACACACACACACACACACACACACACACACACACACACAATAGGCTAATGGGTTTGGATAATGCAATTCTTCTGTTCTATGAAAAAAGAAGCCACCTACCCAAAATAGTAAAATCAGTAAAGGTATGTGCTGGAGGTTCATGTCAGTAATCCTAGCTACTCAGAGGTTGAGATTTGAAGATTACAGTTTGAAGCATCTGGGCAGGAAAATCTGTGAAACTCCTTGCCAATTAACCACCCCAAAATTTGAAGTGGAATTGTGGCTCCAAGTGGTAGAGTGCTAGCCTTGAGAAAAAAAGCTTCGGGACAGTGCTCAGACCTTAGTTCAAGCTCTACGACTGGCCAAAAGAACAATCACCACCACCAGAACCAGTGGGCCAGGCACTGGTGGCTCATTCCTGTAATCCTAGGTACTCAGGAGGCTGAAATCTGAGAATCACAGTTTGAAGCCAGCCTGGGCAGTAAAGTCCATGAGACTCTTACCTCCAACAAACTACTCAGGAAAAGCCAGAATTGATGCTATGGCTCAAGTGGTAGAGTGCTAGCCTTGAGCAAAAGAAGCAAGGACAGAACTTACGTCCTGAGTTCAAGGTCCAGGACTGGCAAAAAAAAAAGGTAGAAGTGGGGTGGTGGCTCAAGAAGTAGAGTGCCAGCCTTGAGCAGGAAAGCCAAAGGCTAGAGGTTTTGAGTTCAAGCTCCCTATTCCCTGGCTATCTTTCCCAGCAGCTAGTGAAAAATGTAAAGGATTACATGAACCAATGGATAAATCAGCTTTTCAGAAACGAATTAAACTACTGTAAAGGTTAATCCGTACCATCAAACAGGTCAAATTATGTCTTACCAAGCTTCGGGAAGTGTTCCACCTGAAAGACTCCTTCCAGCCAACTGATATAAAAGCAAAGAGCCAGTTGCATCCAGTAGCATTTGTATGTCTCAGAGACCACGAGATTTTCCTACCTGCCAATCACTGAGGACTCAGTTCAAGCTCCACCTCCTTTATGAAGCTTTCTGTCGCCCTCCTTAGAAGTCTTTCCCAGGGCTAAATTCTTTAGATCCTATGGCCTGACCCACTCATCCACTATACTTTACATACTTACTTGGCTGCTATTACTTTCTAATCGTATTTTTGTTCTTCAAAATGACATCATGAATTCCGCCTCACCCCCCACAATGATAGAACACAAGCAATACAATGTAACTTTGTTGCACAATGAAATCCCTTGGGGGAATCTTTCAAAAACACGGGTTCTTGGCTCTTACCCCGCAGACATTCTGATTAGAATTTAGACAAACGGAGGTTGAAAAAAACATGCAAAGTTAGGAAACCATTTTTACATGGTATTAGTCTGGCGTTTGTGAACCAAGATCGGAATGAACTGAAAGAAGGTGCGACTGTTAGAGGGCATGGAGAGGATTTGCAGAAGATACCAAAAAGGGGTTCATAAATTTAAGGTGCTGGGCTTTGCAGATATCCGGGTTAGAAGGGTGGGAGCTGTGGACGACTCATACTCACATCATTGCCATAAGACTCTGCAGGGAGAGAAAGAGCATGTGCTACAGACACCAGCTCCCCGGAAACCTGAGGGGGGAAATCAAGGGAGAAAGGGGACAGTTTAATTTTCGACATGGCTCAACTCATCTCGATTAGTGTTCTCGCTTAGTCACAGGGCAGCATCTTACCGGTTCATTCAGCTTACTGACAGCCTCCATGTTGCAGCGTGGAAGGCGTGCCTTCCCCTAACGGAAGTGATTTTTTTTTGTTGTTGTTGTTGCGGACGTCTAGCTCGGTTGTTGGAAAACGCAAGGGTGCCAGAGCACCGGCATGCTCGTCGCTCTGCGTTTGCGCACATCCTTCTGACGTCGGAGGTAGTTGCTGTCTCCGCCTCCTCTGGCTCGCGCAGGCGTAGTACGGTGTGGCACTGGCTGGCCTACTTGTGAGATCCGAGGTACTGAACTGAACGGTTTATTCGCTGGTGATCAGAAGAAAAGCCTGAGGTAAAAGAACGCTGCTTTTATGTCCCCGGTGCTCAGTGTGCCCATCAAAAATTCCTGCATGCGCGCACACACCCACAGTCAGGATAAACGGAGAGGAAATCACAGCCCCGTTTGCTGCTGTGGGGGGTTGGAACGCTGGGGCGAAGCATTTGGTCCTCGTTTTGAAAGAACTAGATAAAGAGAGGGAACAGATTACAAAGTCTTTGGGAGCATAAATGCGCGGGTGAGGGGTGAGGGTAGGGAGGGGAAACATATCTGAGCTGAGCATGGAGGACATGTAGCTCTATAGGTAAGGAAAAGCACACCAAGTGGAGTATAGTTTGTAGCAAGGGTGCAGTCAAGACCTGTTTGGAGAACATTAAATAGTTGAGAATTTAAGAAGGCCCTAGGTAGCCCATCTTCATGAGCATGCTTAATTTTTTAATTAAAAAGTTTTTTTTGATTTGTGCAGGTCCTGGGACTTGAACTTAGGGCCTGGGCACTGTCCCTGACCTCTTCAGCTCAAGGTGAGCACTCTACCACTTGAGCCACAGCGCCACTTCCGGCTTTTCTGGTGGTTAATTAGAGATAAGCATCTCATAGACTTGCCTGCTTGGGCTGGCTTTTACCTCAATCCTTAGATCTCAGCCTCCTCAGTAGCTAGGATTACAGGTGTGAGCCACTGGCACCCAACTTTAAACTACTGTGTGTGTGCGTGTTTATGCTGCTACTGGGTCTTGATCTAAGGGGCTCCATACATTGGTAGTTGGCACTGTATCACTTGAGCTACAACTTTAGTCCAGCATTTTGGTGATTAATTGGAGGAAACACATGGCCTTTTTTGACTTCAAACTCAACCCTCCAATCTCAGCTTCCCGAGTAGCTAGGATTACAGGTGTGAGCCTTTGGCACCAAGCATATCTTTTTTTGGTTGGTTGTGAGGCATGATCTCAGGGCCTGGGCACTGCTCCTGGGCTCTTTTCCTCAAGGCTAGCGCTCTGCCACTTAGAGCCACAGCCCCACTTCCGTTTGTTGTTGTTGTTGTTTTTCTCATGGGAACTTTTCAGCCTGGGCTGGCTTTGAACCAAGATCCTCATATCTCAGCCTCTTGACTGGCTAGGATTACAGGCGTGAGCCACCAGCACCTGGCTAGCCCCGCATATCTTAACCATTTTTGTGTATATCTGTGTGTGTGTTGGACCTTGGGCTTGAACTCAGGGCCTGGGCACTGTCTCTGAGCTTCTTTTGCTCAAGGCTAACATTCTACCATTTGAGTCACAGCTCTACATCTGGCTTTTTTGGTCGTTTATTGAGATGAGAGTCCCACAGATTTCCCTGTCTGGGTTGGCTTTGAATGGCAATCCTCAGATCTCAGCCTCCTGAGTAGGTAGAATTAAAGGTGTGAGCCATCATGCCTGACATATATCAACCATTTTAAAGTAGTATCATATAATTCATGTGGTTGTGTTTCATATTTCAAAGCTGAAACCCCAGAATTATTAAAGTAGCAACTCATTTTCCTCCCTCCCAAACACTTAGCAACCATCATTTTATTGTTTTATCAATTTTTATGTTAGATACTGCATATAAGTGGTTTTAAATCTTTTTGTTACTGGTTTATTTCTCTTAGGATATATCCCTGAGAAGATTTTTCTTTTCTGTGCCAGACTTGGGGCTTGAACCCAGGCACTGTCCTCAAGATTTTTTGCTTAAGGCTAGCATCCTACCACTTGACCTAGAGCTCCACTTCTGGCTTTTTGGTGGTCAGTTGGAGATAAGAGTCTCATGAACTTTCCTGCATGGGCTGGCTCTGAACTACAGTACTCAGATCTCAGCTTTCTGAGTAGCTAGGACTATAGGCATGAGCCACCAGTGCCCAGCAGCAGGATTTTCTTCTCCATAAAGTAATATTCTACCTGGGTGTTGGTGGCTCATGCATGTAATCCTATCTAGTTAGGACGGTGAGATCTGAGGATGGCTGTTCAAAGCCAGCCTGGGAAGGAAAATCTGTGAGACTCTTAACTCTAATTAACCACTAGAAAACCAGAGGTAAAACTGTGGCACAAGTAGTAGAGCACTAGTCTTGAGCAAAGGAACTCAGGGACAGCACCCAGGCTGTCCCTCCCTTCCTCTCCTGCAATAAAAATAGTATTTTTATTGTATATAAATACTACAACTTTTTTGATCTATCTATCCATTCATAAACACCTGGTTGCTCTCACCTCTTGGTGGTCATGAATATGGTATTATGAACATGGATATGTAAATGCTACATAAAATCCCACTTTCCCTGGGCACTCACCTCTGTAATCCTAACTACTTAGGAGGCAGATCTGAGGATTCCAGTTTGAAGCCAGCCTAGGCAGATAAATGTGAAGGACTCATCCAATTAACCAGTGAAAAGCCGGAAGTAGAGGTAATGGCTCAAGTGGAGTGCCAGCCAGCTAAGAACATGAGGCCCTGAGTTCAAGCCCAAGTATCAGCATACACACACTGACCTTTCAGTTATTTTAGATATATACCCGTAAGTGTGATTGCTGGATTATATGTTTAATCATATAGTTAACTAGTCATTTTTAATTTTTTTTTTGTTGGTTGTAAGCATTATGCCCACCATTGGTCCTCAGCTCCACCCAGACCTGACCCCTCCCTGCCCTGGAGTTCCCACCATACAGCCAGCCCCTCCCTCTCTCCGCCCAGACCCACCTGAACTCCCATCTACCTCACTTCCTAACCCCCAGACCCTGCTGCTATATCTAGATAGTGGAGGCTGCCATGTGCTCTCTCTACAGGAGAAATATGGCTTCTCTAATAAACCTTGTAATAATCTTTCTCCTGTAACTGCCTGCTTCCTCATGGTCCCCTGGCATGGATGTGACAGATCCTTTCATTGGTCTTGAGGATTGAACTCAGATCCTGGGCACTGTCCCTGAAGCACTATTTGAACTACAGATCCACTTCCAGTTTTCTTGAGGTTAATTGGAGATAAGAATCTCACGGACTTTCCTGCCTGGGCAGACATCAGACTCTTGAGTAGCTAGGATTACGGTGCCCAGCTGGAGTCTTGGAGACTTATAAAATCTTGATTTTAAGTTCAGAGAGACTTATATATAATAAGGGATTGTCCTTAAATAAGAGACTGTCCTGGAGTTTGCTAGGTGTGTCTCAAGAGACATGAGTGAAGACAGGCAGCAAAGGTAGGAAATTGAGCTGTTGTTTCCAGATGCTTTTTGTTTTATGTATAAAGTGTAAGAGGACAGCTGAGACTGAGAAGAGATGTGTTAAAACAACTGAAAACAAAAGGAAAGAAATGTACATATCACCTGATGTGGAAGAAATAACTTTATTGTCAAAGCTCATAGAATTTGGAGCTGGGAAGGTGGCTTAGTGTAGAGTGCTTGCCTTGCATGCATGAGGCCCTGGGTTTGATTCCTCAACACCACATAAGCAGAAAAAGTCATAAGTGGCGCTGTGGCTCGTGGTAGAACACTAGCCTTGAGCTGAAGAGCTGAGGGACAGCGCCCAGGCCTATAATTCAGGCCCCACAACTGACAAAAACAACAAAATATAACCAAAAAAAGCTCAGAATTCATAAACTTTATAGACCATGATATAGACAATTTGCCTCATGAAAGTTAGAATGTGTTTGTGACTTTAACTAGTATCACTCTCACAATACTATGAAATTTGTGAAATTTATGTAATCACTTAATCACAATAAAAAATTGCTATATAAAAAAAGTCTTGCCTTGAGCAGAATGTCCTTAGAAGTCGTGAATAACAGTTCAGAAGAGCCTAAGGACCAATTCAACAAGGAGAGAAAATTTCAAGGAACATCTGTAGCTGAAGAACGTGATTTTTGTCTCTATGGTTTTTCTTTTATTTTGGTGGTTTTGTTTTGTGCCTGTACTGGGGCTTGAACTCAGGTCAGGTGCTTTGCTTGAACCACAGCTCTACTTTTTTTTTCAGGTAAGGGGTAGGTTTATTCATCGTTCTGGCTGGCACCAGGACATCTTGGTCCTCCACACGGTGGGGAAGGGCCTGGGAAAGAGAGAGAGCTGGGAAAGAGAAGAGAAAGAAAGAGCTAGAAGAGAGCAGAGAAAGAGAGAGCATCTGGGCCTGGGCTAGGCCTTATCTAGGGTCTGGGCGGAGAAAGGTGTGGCCACATCAAATTCAGATGTGACCTCAGCGGATGCAGCTGTGACCTCTTCCAGGTGTCCCAGTTGCTTAGGTAACTCAGGTACTGGGTGGAGACTTTGCTGCAAGGAGGGTGGAGTCTGCTAGCCATCCAGGAGCGGACCTTATGTTCCAGCCTTTTAATAATCATGAAAAGGGCGTGGATTCTCTCTGGCTACTTCCTGCTGACGACAACAGGGGTAAAAGGCTGGAATTTGGTCCCCTCCCAGACTGTCCCTTGGTGGTGTGAGTCCTTAGATGAAGTCTGGAAAAGTCTCATGAGCTTTGAGGGGCTGGAAAAAAAATACTAGAGAGCAAATAAATGGCAAGAGGAAGGACTTAGGGCTGAAAATGTTGGTAGAAATGTCCCTAGCTACTTCTGACATCTGGCGACTAGGTAGAGAAGAAGTCAGGTAACAAAGGCAAGAATATAAATTCCTGTTCAGTTAATAGGTAGACAGGTATATACATTGGATGGGCAGGCTTCTTACTTCTACTGACCTCCCGGCTCTGGTTAATTTTGAAAGGGCAGGCACAAAGTAGCTGATGTGACATCATCTCCTCTTACTCCTCTCCATGTTCCCTTCTTCCCCAGACTGGCTGAGTCTAGGTGCTTGTTGCTGGGATGGCTTGTCCCAGTTGGTATTCATGGAGGTTTGAACTCAAGGCCTGG